CACTAAAATGCGCAAATAAAATCAAATATAACTAATTTTTTGCACTTTATTTAGAAAGCCGTCTAATACCCGATTCTGAAGTACATGGTAAACATCTTCGTTTTTGAGGTGGTTGTTCTTCTTCTTGCTGAACTATCATATTATAAATTTAAGTAAAAATGCATACAAAAAGTTATAAATCAATACTTTCGTTCATAAAAAGTTAAAATTTTGTAAATATTACATGTAATACTGCAGTATAACGCAATCGGGCGCACTGTATCTAGCAGATCAAAATGCCTGCCGTCACCTTACAAGGCGATCAAACACAAACTGCAGTAGACATATCGGTAGAAGTCCTAAAAATATGAAGCTACTGAAGGGTGGGTAGTTATGCCTATAAAAACAGTGCGTCCGGGTGCAATATTTTAACTGGTGTATCTCTTAGATCGGTTGCGCCCGCCGGAAGGTTAAGTTCTAAAGTAAACGCAAATGTTTTTAAATATAAGATTTAACAGTTTTAAAGCAAACGCATATGTTTTTAAACAATATTTGCATCAGCGAATGAAATTATGAATAAAATTTGCTATAAATTGTAATAAAGCTAGATTGTCAAATTCAATGTTCTTTAATGTATAATTTCGTTGTTCGTAGTGTACATTAATAATTAATGATTACTTATGCCCAAGCTTTGTTAAAATTTGTCATTGTAAAAGGGAAGAGAAGCAGTCCAGCAGGCCACCAAGTGGTGCAGGCCACCGGGCATTCGCCCGGTGTCCCGGCGGCCCAGCACGCCCCTGAGTTCCAAATTAAACAGTAGACATTTATTGTTTTGCCCCCCATAAACTGCCGCCCGTATCAAGGGCTCCCGCGTGCCTCCCTAGATCCTTAGCAACGCCACAATAAAGAAACGCCTATAAAATTAAATTACACCAGGATTATTTAAGTGGAAAAAAAACTTTTTACAGCATAAAATGCTACTATACTAGCTATGCTATGCTTTTAATGTATCACGAGTGTTTATGTGGCATGGTACGCAGTATGAGTGGTCATGCATTTATTCATTGACAAAACAAAAAATTATTTACTTTTCATTAAGTAATCTAATTTAATATCAGTATCTATTAAATCCGTAATAACAGGTAATTTTTTTTCTTTAATAAAATATTTGAATTCTATTTCTGTATGTTTAAAAATCACTTGAGATAACTCACGCCGCTAGTTTTTAATAAAATTATTTTCTAGCGTTTTAAAAGAAAATTTTGTAATGGGAAAAAAGTTACCTTTTGCTATTTCTTTGATTTTAATTTTGGCATTGCAATTTATTATGTAATGTATTTAATTTGGCCAACATTTCAAATATTAATATTAAATAAAATATATATAGGCAGAAAGACTTCGGTCGATAGCCTTTTGGTTTTTCCAATAAATATATTTACTACTAAAATATATTTATATTTACTACTAAAATATATTTATATTTATTATATATAATATATTTATATATATTATATATATATATATAACCTTTAAAATTAAAAGTTTTAAAATTTTAAGTTTATCAATTCTTACGTTTAAAATACTATATTCACTGAAAAGTTGTTAAAAATTAGATTATCTTGTCCAGATACACATTTTCATTGGCTCACAGAGGGCTTATTAGCAATTCTAGCTAGAAAGCTTACAATTATTTTTATATTATAATACTTATAAGTCCATAAAGAAAGACTTCATAATAATAATACCTACTAGTTCAAAAGTCAAATTATTATTAAACTCTGTACAGAAATAAAGCTAAAATGTCAGTGAAACCTAACCTAAAAATGATGTGACAGAACAGAAGTAACTATTTTTTTCCAGCTTGATTCTTAATCCAGCCCACTGTGCGTAGATATGTAATAAACTTTATTTATTACTTATCGCCATTAAAAATACGTAAAATTGTTAACAACTTTATAACTATTTAGTATTTACCCTGTATATTTTCACTGGTATAGAAAACCATATTCAAGTGGACATTTCTTCTCTCCACCGCGGTGCACCGTTCAGATGGACTGTTGACCCAGATTGATCAACCAAGTTCATGGAAAGTACCTTAACGGCGATTAAGAACTAACACATTAAAATATGTATTTGATTATTAACTTAATTTATCGAAACTTTTTTATTGGATACTTTGATTTTATTACACATAATTAAAAAAAGAAAAGTGCTTTTAAAATGTTTCATATATATATTTTCTAATATTAGATGGTTTAAATATAATAAACTTTTAACCGAAATATACAAAATTAGTTAAGTATTTAACCAGGGACGAAGCTACCGCCATATCAGCCGTATCAATGATATACATTTATTAAATTATAAGGAATTGGTGAATCCAAAAAAACCTGATAGCCTAAAAAATTTTTTGTTTGCTTAAAATAGACTTATTTGGACGTGGCACCTGAATTTGTTTGCCTGCATTGCTTCCTGTATAGGGCCCCCTGATTTTGCATACAGGGCCCCTTCGGGGCTAGATACGACACTGTATTTAACCAAAATAACAAGTACTTCATACGAAAATATTTTACACGCTTTGATAAAACGGTGTATGAGCATTTAAATTATTATATTTCAAGCGCATGAAAAAAAACAACCGCCTGGTTGTTACAAAAACCACTCGTACATGTTTCCAGCCTGATTTATAGATTGCCTTTCTTCCGGACGCTTGCCCGTACGATTTGTGTCTTGTAAAAAGTCAATTTATAGATTCCCGTACTGCATTCCGTCAGCATGCATCTTAACAACAAAAATAGTTGACACTTGTTTTGTTTAAATTCTGTGTTATGGGCTATAAGATTAATTTCTTTCATTTTATTACTTTATTTGTGTTTAAATATAAAATATAAACATAACAATTAGTGCAGTAATTACCATTACCAATCCAGGCTTTTATAAAATGCAAAGCTAGGAAATAGGAAGACAATTCCGGTTTTTTGTTGGACAATTAAAACCACTCTTAAAACAACAAAGAATTCAAGATTAAACATGTCCAGAAAAAATTAGTAAGGTAATATAAATTTTCAATTATTAACTTTATTATTGTTTTAGCTATTTATCACATGGGGGTACTGTGCAAAGTATTGCTTGGACGTACAAGTGTCTCGAGTGGAATATGTGATTGTTATTACCTTTGACTTATTATTATTTAATAAATTAAGTTTTAATTTTACTGGTAGGTATTTTTATTTATAAGTATACCTAGATATCAACTTTAAGAATATTGGCAATTTGACCATGACTATTTCATTTTATTGAATCTTTTTTAAAATATTTTAATGATTTAATGTGGGTGCCTATAAATTCTATGATTAATTAAGGAATAGTTAAATTTTGCAAGAATAAGTAGATATTAATTTAAAAAAAAACCACATCAATAATAACAGCTGTTATAAATATTAATTAACAGCTTGTAAACACCTAAATTTAAGAATATTTACCTGCCATTTTTTAATTTATTTCTTAATTATAATAATACCTACTTTATTATTCTTGAGAAAATGTACTTTTTACCTTGGTATAGGACCATGTTAAGTTTAAATAAAGTTGTTAAGCTATATTTCTTAAGATAATACTATTATATTAAATATTTTGTATCTCCTCGCCATACCCCTATAGCGCATGGCTATATCAAGTATCTACTGTGATTGGTTTAACATGAGACCTTTACGGTGAAAGATAAAACTTGAAGATTTCTACGGAAGAAAGGAATGGCATTCTTAGGGTATGAGAATCTATAAACAGGACTACGGTTTCCGTATTGTTCATCTTTCAAGGGAGGAAGGGAGAAAGGAAGGAATTTAATCTATAAATCAGGTGTTTTAGTCACGGGCTGAAGTTGGCAACAGGTTTTTAGTTACGGACTAAAGTTAGTTTTAAGTAAGTTGAAAGTTGTCAAATGTCATACAATCGTTAAAATAAAGTGCCCTTCTTGTAAAATAATAATGTGGAAATTATTTTATTATCATAATACAAAAATAAAAAGTAATTAATAGTTTCTAAACTCCAATACCTATTTGAAAAGTTTATATGCAAGTTTGTACTGACTTTTTGACATTTTAAGATAATAATAAGTATTTGTCGTATAAAGTAGTATACTATGCAACTCCTTTATAAACTTTTCTATACAGTTATCTAATTAAACACTTCCTCGCAAGCTCGCTCGGGCCTATTTAAAATTCGTGACTAAAATGGCGTTTATCAAACTAGATAAATAATTTACAATGATTTCTATGAATAATAATAATAATATTAATAATATTATTATAATAAATATTTCATGTAAAAAAATAATTTTTGCCTGTTAAATATGCTTGGTAATATATATATAATATATTTATATATTTTAATAATTACTAGAATTTATCTAAATTGAGAAATTGACCCACTAAAAGTTAATATTTTGTTTTCTTCTGTATATAGTAGTGGGAATCAATTTTTTAATGGTGTTGAATAAAACAATTTTTAAAAAGAAAGCATTTACGTCTTTTACGTCAAGTATGTTAATATACATATAGGCCTTTAAAATTTTAGGCCTTTAAAATTGTCGTTTTTCATGGGTGATAAGAAACGATTACCAACACCATTTTTAGGATAGATCATGCTCACCATAAAATCTTTGTCCAGACACGTTTATCCTTATTATTTCTTAACTTTACCCGGTGAGCGAAATTTAACTTCGCCCACGGGCTGTTAGTTAGCTTTAAGTTAAAATTAAAAAAAGTTTAACGTTAAAAATGCTTGACAGTGGTGAGATGGCAGATAAATTATTAAATAAAATTGGCTTTAAATTTCTAGCGGTAGTTAAATAAAATATTTTTTGCGACTATTGGTAAAAAGAGGAGATGACACTAGCGATGAATCTACTCTTTCTCTAACTAGTCGCATTATATACTTCATTTTAAAATACATAAATATTTAATATTAATAATGCAAATATTACTACCAATTTTATGGTAAATATTGTGATGAATTTCTACCTTTTTGGAAATGATATCCTGCGGTGCCGGTAAAAGGAATCCATTTTTTGAAGTATGTCCATATTAAAAAACTAAATAATATTTATGTCCTAAAAAATCGAACACATCACATTTAAAAGCTGATACAATATTCTTATGTGACAAAAATACGCGCAAAAATCTACAACCGTACCACTATTGGCATGGCATCGCCACAAAGAAGAAGCAAGCACCTCGATGGTAACTAAAAGAGCACGCGTAAAGAACTGACAGTTGAACGCACGTTCTGCAGGTTTTGCCAACATCTCCGGTTCACCACGCCTGCTAAAGCCGCTTCCGCATTTGGCCTACATGCAGGCAACAGCCCAGCTGACACTATTGCCAGGAAAACTTCTTTCACCCGGTGCAAAATCACAAAATGCTATCTCGAAGCCTGCGTTAACGGGATTATAACGCACTGTTCTTAGAATACAGCCATTCCACGTTACTCGGCAATTTTTGTAACTTCCGTAATAATAAACAAATGTGAATAAAAGACACCGTAATTAAATTAAATACTATTGCAATAGTTACTATTGCAAACATTTTTATTATGCTTAAGCATAATTAAGTTTTTACTCACAATTTTTGATTATTAAGAACTAGTCCGGTCAAATTAGACCAAAAAATAACAGTGAAGTTACATAAATTTACAACAGGCTGAAAATCAGTAAAATTGTTCAGAATATAATTATAAATAAAATTTTAAAGTTCCCCATCATTCCCCTGTATGGAAAAAATTTTATTCAAGGTCAAAGGTCAAAAAAATTAGTTTTTCGCGATTTTCAGCAAAACGGGAAGTTTTATCATAAAAATACCTTTGACAAAAATTATAGATCATAAAATTGTCCATAAAAAATGTATGGATACTTTTTTTCATACGAGCCACCGTTTCTGAGATATAACGATTCGAAAAGTTGTAAAAGTTGTAATCGTCATAATATACATGAGTACGTCACGTATTTACATCTCTGGAGTTATGGAGTTATATATGTTAAAATATTTTTCTTTCGGTCATTTTAACTTACACTTAAAATATAAAATATACCTACATAAGTTATAACTATAAGAATATCAAGTGAAATAAAACCCAGTCCCTTAAGGGACTGGGTATAAATTAATTAATTTATACTCCATCGAGACATCTGTGACAGATGACAGATGATCTGTCTCATGTTCAATTGTGTAACCTGCTATAGTTGGTGCTCGCTGCGGGTGGGAATCGCGCCGCGAACGCTCCACCTAAACTGGGTAGTAATTTTAAAGATGAATTTTATATTTCTCTCGTCTTCTGTCACCTTATATGTGTTATCTGTCAATTGTAATCTGTCTACTGTCATTAGTCACCTGTCATCTGTCAACTTGACATCTGTCACCTGTCATCTGTCACCTGCCTTCTGTCACCTGTCATTTATCCCTGTCATATGCCACCTGTCATATGCCACCTGTCATATGCCACCTGTCATATGCCACCTGTCATTTGCCACCTTATCGATTTGATTTCGGGGATTTAAGTTTTTTAAATACCCAACAAAAATTAAACGGGCTTCTGGCCGATTAGTTTTCATTCGATGAAGCTCATCTTTTAGTATGTCAAACTTTGGTCTTTTACCCGTCGATTCGTATATTTCGTTTGGCCAATTTCGAAAATTTCTCTCGCCCTAAAAACGTTTAAAAATTTTTCGAAAAAATATAAAAAGATCGCTGTTCGAAAAGTTTCCGGCGGATCCGGCCCGTTTGCAATATTTATTTTTTCCGTTATCTGTTAGTCTGTATATCCTTTTTTTTCTAAGCGACGTAGCTCTGAGGCCGTTGAAGGTGGACACTCGAAATTTACATCCTTTTTTCTGCCCACGAGACCTATCCGCGGACCAAATTTTTTCGGTGTTGAAAAGGCCCAAGTCCACTTTTTTTCGATTTTTCCGTCAAATTTTGCACGTTTTATTGTTTTCGCTTAACTTTCGAACGAGCGGAGATTTTTCTGCCAAACTCGAGGAAAAGATGCTTCGAGACAAGAAGTTATCACCAACGGCATTCGATTTCTTCTTTCTATATACGGAGCTCCTAAAAAAACTACCTGCTTTGATAAGTATCGATATGCATGTTTCGTTAAAAATACTAAAAGTAAAAAACAAGTTCAATTAGCTTGTCTTCCTCCAACCTCAGTTGCTGCTCATCAACATCTTTTTCGGGTATATAACCAAGTTCAAGTGTGGCTTGGTTATCAGACCCTGCAGACTGGGGTTGGAAGTTGGTCAACAACCCATTAGAACCAGTTCAAACTTTACTCCCACCTGCGCCGGAAAAACTGCTGAACACAATTTTTTGCAACTGCAAAAAGGGATGCAGTGCTAAATGTGGTTGCAAAAAAGTCGGACTGTTTTATTCTCTGGTATGTACGAATTGTCAAGGCCGGTCGTGCTCTAATGTTGAATCACCAACAGTGGAGGATTCATTTAATTCCAATGAGGTGACATGCGATACATCGCTACTGACGCAATTTACTTGTACCCAGGATGAAGATGAAGAAGAAGAAGAACAAGAAGAAGAAGAACAAGAACAAGAATAAGAATAAGAAGAAGAATTTAAATGTTACGAATCAGACGAATTAACTTCAGTCTTTTTTTTAAATTTACATCGCTTTTATCTTTTCCAATCATTGCTAATTTCCGTTATTTTGCAAAAGTTTCAAATTAAACAGGATCACAACTGACCCGTGGAATAGGCCTACTGGGGAAAACACGTTAAAAACCCGCTAAGTACACTACCTCATAGGTGGCGTGGAAATGTGTGCATATTATGACGATTATAACTTTTACAATTTTTCGAATTATTATATTTCAAAAACAGTGGCTCGTAGAAAAAAAAGTATTGATACATTTTTTATAGATAATTTTATGATCTACAATTTTTGTCTGGAGTATTTTTATGATAAAACTTACTGTTTTGCTGAAAATCGCGAAAAATAATTTTTTTGACCTTTGACCTTGAATAAAAAATTTTCCATACAGGGGAATTATGGGGAACTTTAAAATTTTATTTATAATTATATTCTGAACAATTTTACTGATTTTCAGCTTGTTGTAAATTTATGTACCTTCGAATGTCTAGTTTGACCGGACTAAACGCTACAAAAATTGCCGAGTAACGTGAAATGGTTGAATATCGCATTTATTTAATTGTAAACATACATATTTTTTTATCATTTCAAACAGTAATTGCCGAATATCGCATACGTTTTTTTTAGCATGTATGTTTACATAATATATTATATTAGAATGATAGATTTTGTGATAAAATTTATTAAAAAAACTTTCTTTTTATATTTTACATCGTGTTAAAATTCTTAATAATTGAACTCTTCGGGGGAAAAACTAAAAAAAGTGACAAATTTATGTCATCCATTAACATTCCTGCAATAATAAAATTGTTTCTCCATCTCTTTTATAACATTCTGCAACATATCGGCGGTTATCGTTTGACACATTTGTTCTTGTAAAACTTAAAGAGAAGCTGGCTGTGTTTTATAAATTTAAAACTTTAAATGGCCCCATAGAAAGAAGTCCAGAGAGGAAAGATCAGGGGACTTTGCAGGCCACTCAATAGGTCATCTTCGGCCAATCCAATGGTCTCTAGAATTGTCGTTTTGTGACAAGTTGTTATCTTTAGCAACCTCCCTTATTCTAGGATCAATATCTTCTTTAAGGAAAGTCAGATACATTGCCCCTAGTTAAATTGCCTTGTAAAAAAATGGTGCAATTATGTTATTGCCTAGAAGAATCTCTAAATAAATGTGGGCTTGAATCGCTCCACTTTAGACAATTATGTCAATTGACCAATCCATGTAAAAAAAGGAGCATTCATCTAAAAAGCAGATATTGTAAAGGGAATTAGGATTATACCGTTCACTTATTTCTTCTACAAATTGTAATCGTCGATCATAATCATTCTCATTAAGTTCGTGGAGCAATTGTATCTTGTAGGGGTAAAATTTGTGAACCTTTAAAATTCTCTTTAGGCTTGTTCGTGATATGTCGGAAACTTTGGACAATTGCATACTACTTAGTGTGTTCCAAATACTTGTTAAGTGCCCTATGACTGCGATGTGCATTTCTTCATTTCTAACGACACGAATGGAATTCTTTTTTGTTCTCCACTGTTCCAGTTTCCGAAAACTTTTCCATCAGTTTCCTGGTGTCTTTCATTAAATAATCGTGCTGTTTGTCTTGCACAGTCATTGTTTTTGAAATAAGTATTATTAAATTTCGTTAGAAGCTCTCGAACTTACTATAATAATCTTACTGATGATCGTGCGACAATATTTAGTAAATAAGGTTTGCAAAAACCACACTTTTTTCTTTAAACGTAAAAAGTCTGATGTTTTGCTGCTAATTACTTCATTCGATGGGCAAACCTAAATATTTGTCCCAAAAGTATCGCTTTTACTCCTACTAAAACAATAGTCTATTTCCAAGATTTTAACAAGGTTTCATATCAACGGGGATGATAGCACCGACTTCAAACTTAAAGAGTATAATCAAAAATAACTTCAAAATTAAATTTTGGGAGTAACTATCACTCACGCTTAGGGGTTGAGGAGTTGATATAATAAAAATAAATGTTATCCTTTAAATCAGAAATCGACAGGTGTGAGCGTTTTTTTAGTAACACCTGAGAAATCCCAAGTGAAAACTTTCCATTGACCCACCCTGTATATAACATTAAAATGAATATAAGTTTAATAAAAAGGGGCCAATATTAAAAAAGTCATCCAAATAAATAAAAAGTTACAATATCATCGGTTAAGGTAAGACTCTTCTTGGATATTACATCATAAATTGCGTAATTACTCTAATATTTTGATTTTAAATTTAAATTGCCAAGCGTTTATAGGTACTAAAAATATATAAATTAAATTAGTTTGCATTCGCTTTAACTATCAATTAAAAGTTACAAAATATAAGATCATACAAGTTTATGCAATACGCAATTTAAAATATACAATTAAAAAAAATACCTATATGTTAACATAGGTACATGGTAAAATAACCGTATTTTATTTCCCTGTTTATCTACTTCCGTTCAGGAAACAGATAAAATGCATTAGGATAGGTATGCCCCATTTACTTTTTTTAAATATTGCATTTTAAACTAGTTTTTATTAAACTTTTTAATATACATACCTATATTTATACCAAAATATATATTTATTGATAAGGCCAAGCCGTCGTACTTGGACCCAAAAATTTGTACTATACAGCTGTATAGTACAAATTTTTGGGTCCAAGTACGCCCTAGGGCCCTATAGTTTTAATATAGTTGGAATTTTTATTTATTCAGACATTACATGTCTTATGGATGCATTCTACGTAGGTATTTATTTTTATTATTAGGTATGGGGTGCTTGGCCCTCTAGGGTTACATATACCCTCAAATTTTGTTAAGAAAAAAAATTGACAACCAAAACATTTTTAATGCTTTTTTCCAAATTAATAAAAAAATAAACTAAAATATAATGTTTATATTATGTAAGGTCTCGTCCTAACACTTGAAGTGATAGGTTGGCTGCAGTCGTTAACGAGAGCCCTCCTAAGCAGTGTAAGCGATACAAGCGCAAGTACCAAAAACGAATCTAAGAATCCTGCAAGTTATCGGAGGCAAGTGAATCAGTAAAGCGGAAAACAAAAAATAAAAATTAAATAAACAAGAAGGAAATAAATAAATGGTGATGATAAGTTTGAAAAGTGCGGGTGGCCCCAGGTTAAGTCACAAAGTGCTATAACGTCGTAGAAGTTTGTGAGAGAGTGAGTGATTAAGGTTAGGTCACACCGATAAGCTGCCTGACCACCTGACTACATGTATGGTGACCATACTTTGGTCACCACAATCGGCGATTTCCAAGGAACGCGGACTGTCCGCTATAGGGATAGAAAAATAGAATTCAATCCTAATTAGTCCAGCCAAGTAATTTTCCTAATTGCATGACCTAATAACAGTACCAATTCGATTTTAATCTATAAACTAAAAATGTCATATGACATTTTTGGTAATAAAATTGCGAAGTTTGTTTTCTGAAGCCAGATATCTGGCTTCAGAAAACAAACAGGTCCATACACTGAGACAAGTAAACTATTTCAAGTTTTAATTATTAACTGAACAGTTTTTGCACATTCAATACGACCAATGCGCATAATTGTTTATTTAAAAGTCTCGAAATGTTACCTACAGTCTCTACATTAAACTCGTACAGTTTTTGAATATACATTTTTATTTATTTTACTTCAAAAATGTACAAAGATTTTAATTAATGCAGTTCAGACCGTAAATTAATGAAAAAACTCTAATATGAGCACTCTTGTATGACAACCTATGATTGTTTGTTTAAGATTTATTTTTATTTGTTTCAAAAACATAATTTTTAAGACGAAGGAGCACAATGGAACTTAAAAATATGTTTGCATAACTATTTTCGTCTTCCTCAATTTTTTGTTTATATTGGCTTTGAGTGGATCCATCACATCCTCACTTATATATGAGAACCAAATCTGTGTCTGGATGCATTGCTTGAGAACTGGTTTCAAATATTTACACAATCGCGATGTTGTGTGATCCACTAAATCTTGGAGCTTCACGTCTGCAACTGCCTTCTCGACGCTTTTTGGTCTGTAACAATCTTGTTTAGCCATCTGTACGTAGGTATAGCAGGACGTATATGCTTAAAGCACCTTCTTGTCTGTGTTTCTTCGAGAAACTTTCTTGGTAGTCGTGATTTTGGTTGATCCTGGTTGGACTTTTGGTAAAATCATTGCAAAATTTTGTAGTTTTGATAAATAAAAGGTTTTTAACAAACATTTACCTTGTAAAGTAAGTGTAAGTAAAAAACATAAATTTGTACAAAGAAAAAAACACGGCTTAAACTGTTACCAAAAAACTACGAAACGTTTTTCAGATGTTTACCACCTTCATCTAATGAAGAGTGATAGTATCATCAAAATAATAATTAATATGATTGCTTTGACTTCTTAGAATGCACTAGAGTAAATTTTCGTTTAATGCTTTAATTAGTTTCTCAAATACACCACTATCTAAAATTAGGAGACTTTCCTCTACGATTGGATATAATAATATATACAAGGGTATGTATACATACGATTTAATAAAATGCGATATATACCTTTGTATATAATTATATATAATTATATCCAATTATATAAGGATATATACAAACTTTGTATATAAACGTACGGTAAAGAATTTATGAAAGTATACAAGTATATCCAATCATTTTAATTGTGCCGACTGGATAATATAAAATGCATACAAATATTTGTTATACATTGAATTATTTATTTAAATGATTACATCTATGTAAATACATTTGAATCACTTGGTAGCATCTTTCAAATAAGCAATTAAGTTTTTCCTATCTTCTGGCTTTTTAAGACCTGCAAACACCATCTTCGTTCCTGGTATAAATTTCTTTGGATCAGTTAAGTAAACATCTAAGTTGCTTTCATCCCAAACTACACCTTTATTTCTATTGGCATCGGTAAAAGTAAATCCTGCTGTGGTACCACTTTTCCTTCCAAACAATCCATTTAAATTTGGCCCCACTTTGTGTTTATTGCCTTTTTCTGTTGTATGGCATTGGGCACAAGCCCTTTGAAATATCTTTTTACCTTTATCAGTATCACCCATGTGATCTTTTTGTACGATAATTTAAACGAAATGTCAAAGTGACATTAATTAGTTACCTGGTTAATAGATAAAAAAGTACAATGTTATCATATAATATATTATAAGGTATAATATAATATAATATATTATAAGGTATAATAAAAATAAATCGTTAATTATAAGTATACTTATTGTGAATGATAATTTTACCTACCTCACAATCACACAAAAATGAATAAAAGTAAGTTTTAATAATTAGGTAAACTTACTTACTTTGTCCTATGGTATTGACTTTTTTAATTGTCGATTTTAAATATTACCAGCCTTAAAATTTGACAATTAAATGCCCGAGTAATTTTTTTTTAATATGGGGGTACCATGGCCATTTCACATTATTTTGCGCGATTTTTCATCATTAAAATGCCAAATTAAATAGTTTAAGGAACTTAACTATGGCTATTTTTTTAATAACCCCGCCACAAAAAAAAAGTTAAGAGTGCAAAGACTGCCACATTATTATTATGAGATTCTATTCGTTGTGATGAATCTAAAGACCTGAAAGGACTGCTTTCTTGAGATTGGCTCTTGATTTTATTTTATTTTTGTAATTAAAAAGTTCTTCGATTTGTGAAAATATAGAAATTTAAACACTATAGGTTTCCTTAACAATGAGATTGTCTTTATAATTCCAACAATATTTTTTAGTTTAATTAACGGTTTTATGTTGAAATAATGGTGGCCACAAAAGGGACCATATTTTTTTGAAAATATCCATTTCTGGCCAGAAATGGGCAATTATTTTCCATTTTTGGATATATAACAATTATTGAAAGTTTCTCTCGTATGTTAACATGTTATGTCCTACCTATACGTTTTATACGTTTATAGTAAAAAATAGTAACTGTCTAAATTCTGAATAGGTAAATTGCAATTGACAAAATTTTCTTATAGGTACTGCAAAATGGCTAACCAAAAGTCTGGTGAAAAAAGAACTCCAAAGTCAAACCGGTAGAACCCTATTTAACTACAGTGCTGATGGAGTCAAGAGAGCCTTAGAAGGTAGTAAATCTGGAATTTCGGTACCAAAGGCTAGCAAAACTTTTAATGTGCTAAGAACAACTCTAAGACATAAATTAAATGGAAGTGCTCCCGAAAGGTAGGTCCTGCATGCGTTCTGGGGAACGAAATTGAAGATGTACAATGTACATTGCAATTGGCTGAAGAATTCACCTCAAATGGGTTTTCCCATTAACAGGGATGGTCTATTACATTCCGTCCAACAAATATTACAAGAGACTAACCAAGTAACTCCTTTCAAGAATCAATTGCCGACTGACAAATGGTTTCGGTTGTTTTTAAAAAGGCATCCCGATTTGTCCGTTAAACAGGCAGAATATAGTAATAAATCCCGTGCCAATATTACACCCGAGAAAATTCGGAACTGGTTGATGCCGCTATTCTACATGTTTGCCATCGGGTCGTTTGAGCCTTCTCTTATACTTTTTAAATATGAGCAGGTAGTCTGCTAGCTACATAAAAACTGCACCACCTGGTTGGTAAATAGGTAAATCGAAAAATGGATGGATGATGGCAAAAACGTTTTAGGAATATTTTGCCAACGTTTTTTAACCCTTTTCATCAAATTTAGTCCGTAACATCAGTCATATTTGGAATCAAAAATAGAACCCAGTGCTCTTACAGATTTCAGAGCGTCTGGAAAAACCTGTACCAAATACAGCAACCCAAACACAGAATTACTAGTAGATGTATGGATGCAATTTAAATTGGACAATCCACCTTAAGATCTTTAGGGAAGAGCTCAAACGATTTCAACTACGCAACATTATTTGATTAAATGATCAAAATTACTTGTTAAATATACTTGAAAATCAGAGCGATGGCCACCTTAATTTGGACATTAATGCAACTTCGACTGTCGACATTAAAGCTTCAGAGAAAATTAAAGACCAGGTCGGGCAACTGCTAAATCAAATTTTTGAAGCCCAGACAACGGAGGCAACTTTAACTGACCACAATCAAAATAGGGACAATGATTGCATAACGTCGAATATTGTTGGAACCAAAGCTTCTGAACAACTTTTAACTGTTATTTAACAAGAATAGGGACAACCTAGACCATGCAAGACCAAACGATACAACAATCAATAAATATCAAAGTAATTCGGGATATCAGAGACCTAATGACAATGAAAATGGGAAGAAAAAACACAAGAAGAATATTATCCTAAAAACATATTGGGATATCCCTCAGAAAAAATAAATATAATACAAAAAAGCGGAACCGAGAAATCTTTCCAAGTATTATAACATGATAATTTATCATTGATAAATGGATAGCTATTGCCACGGAATATAAAAGAAATTAATTATTAAAGCAAAAAGAAGAGCGGAAAAACCCAAAACGCTAAAAAAATACTACGTAACAAACTATTTTCGTGGCCTAATAGTTCAGGTGAAGGACGGCAATACATTTTTAATTTCCACAATGGGGAAGAGGGGACCATATTATTGGAGGTAGACGAATTGGTCTACAAGTTTAAGGAAATCCAAGAAACGATTAAACCCCCGGTTAAAAAAACTCTCGAAGCTTTATTGACGGATATACCATTTACAATTTACAATAAATTTAATAATAGTATATTAAAACAAATTTTTTAACTTGTTTTTAAACATGACAAGAAAACAATTAAAACAATCTAAATCCAATTTATTTACATCAGAGCAATTTGCAATGAGCAATGATTTTTTATGTAAAATAAATTTGCTTGAAAATTCATCTGCATCAAAAGGTCATGGCAATTTATACAATTGTTTAATAATTTATAAAGAAATACTATTCCAAATTTTGTTCTTCGTTTACTTAGTAAATCTAAATTTATAACACTTCTAACCATATCCAAAGCATATGTACATTTCAGTTTCCATTATTCAGTTTGTAAGCACAATAGCGTAAAAATTTCGAGTTGTTTACTATAATTAAAATAAAATGGTGACCAAACCACACAACATACTACAGACGAATGACATATATACATTGGAAATCTTTAAGAGTAATTTTTAAAAATCCTAACATTTTTAAAGACATTTTTACAATCAAATTAATGTGATTATCAAATCTTTTATATAACTGAAAATGATATTAAGCTTTTAATTCTATAAAAACGAATACTTCTACATTTATTAATATTTTTATAAGGTAATGTATTGTATTGTATATCACAGCAATCGTTTAAAGATTTCATATTTTTATACAATTTTAAGTCATCCGCAAACAACAAAATTTTACAATTTTTAATACACTCCCAATGTCATTAATAAATAAATTATTGATTCTGTATCAAAACAGTTTGAGTTCTCGAGTTTAAATAACTTTTGAACCAAAGATAAAATTTACCTATGCCTTAATTTTTGCTAAAAGTATGGTAAGGTTAACAGTATCAAATGCCTAAGAAAAATCAGTGTAGATAGCATCTATCTGGCTTCGATTCTCCAAGGCATTCAATAAGTCTTGGCACTAAAAGGTTTGTTAAAGTGGACCTTCCTTTACTAAATCCGTGTTGTTTATCAACTAAAATATTTTTAAACAGAGGTGATATTTTTGTTGTCATAATTTTTTCCATTATTTTGTAAATTTGTGAAATTTTTAATATTGGTCTATAGTTAGCAATATCACTTTTGTCACCATTTTTAAATAATGGAATCACAAAACTCTCCTTCCACTTATCAGGAAACTAACAATTATTTAACTATAAATTAAATATTTTTGTTAAATGCTTGACCAAGGAAAATCTACAATTTTTTAAAACTAAAGGAGGAACACCATCAGGTCCTGTACCCTTATCAACACATAGCATACACAATTCTTTAGGGTCTTTCCATTTCAAAACGATCGGTACGCGCAGGTCATGATTTTTTTTTGTACTAAACTTTAATATGTTGTTTTTTGGTCGAAATAATGATAAAGGTATTTTTTTGTTTGGCAAAAATAGTCCTTCGGAGGGGACTTTATAAGCACTCAGTTGGCTTTTGGGACTTCTTAGGAAGTAAGGGTGGAACTAAAAGATCACTTTTGTATTTATACCTCAAAAATCTACGCATTAAAAAAGTCTTGACCTTAGTTAAATATTAAACAAGGGGAATTTTCGAGTATTAAGTAAATATATTACCTGCCTCTTAAGTCTAGCAATCAGTTACAAAGATTAATGATATGTACAACTTTAATAAAAAAGAATGCGTTATTCAGTATTTTTTGCATCTGCAATTATAAGCGTAGAACAACTTACATGGAATCTTTAAGTATGGTACGGGAGCAATTAATGAATTCTTGTTATTTTTAGGTTTTATATATTTAACAAGTCACTTCTTCTTCTTCTTCTTCTACAAGAGGGCTTATGCCCTTATGGTCCTGGACAACAGTCCTTATTAACCAGGTACTAGTATTTTAACCGTGCCTATATAATTATCTTCTTCTTTTGAATTATAATACTTGTTTTCTTCATGTATATCTTCTTTGGATAATACTGCTTGTTTTCTTCATGTATATCTTCTTTGAGTATCAAGGTTAGACAGACACAAACACAGGTTTTCGGTAAAGACTGGAAAAAAGGATTAACCCACATATCATAATTTAATGTTACATGATTTTATAAATTTAAAAAGCAACATAAAGGTGTCCTGCAATGGACAAGCAACTACAGCGTTAATGGATAATGGCAGGGGGTGGCCCAGTAAAATAAGGTTCTTAATTAGCTCATTTATTTCATCTTTAAATAATCTACAACTGAAAAATATATGGTTTAAGTTCCCGTGTGTCCCACATGAACACAATGGATCGTCTTTAACTCCTATTTTAAATAAGTGCTCAGGTGAACAACAATGTCCAAATCTAATTCTACATATGGTGGAAATAAATTCCCTACTACTATATTTTATCTCTGCAAACCATGGAATTTTCCACTGTTTATTTCTCAATAAAGCATACTTACGGCCCCTCTTGAGCCAAGAAACTTGCCAAAAAC